AAGGAGAGCAAGGATGGTCGCACTTCCACCATCCCGCTCCCGCCAGAGATCATCCATAAGTTCTGGGGACATTTATCTCCAAAGGCCCATTGCCCCCCCAACCCCCAGCCCATTACAGTATTATGATCCTGCCCGGGCAAATCTTTACTGGGAGATCTTTGTAGGGACGGGTCATTTACTTCATGTGGTTTTGTTTCCCAATATCTGTCTATGGAATTGGTTTGTATTTATTATTTTATATAGCCACCCAATTTGCAAATTGTAATTAACATGATGAATGTGGTGGCTACACAGGGTTAAAAATTCCAAAAAGATAAGCAATGAATGTAACTGCAAAAGCAATACATAAAACAGCCCAAACTGAGGTCAAACCCAACACATCCAACAACCCAAATCATTTACCAAACAGGCTCAAATATCCTGGCCCTGTGCTTGGGGGAAAACCCAAATTTTTGATGCCTCCGGAAGCTGCCTGAATCTCAAGGGGTATAATCTGCACGTAGCTAGTTCCAGACAGGAAGGGAGGTGGTTGGGCACAGCATCAGGCGACAAGTTCAAGAGGCGTTCTTAAGCTGTTCCAAGATGCTTAGAAAAGGTCGTAAGACAATGCCAAGAAGGAAAAACAAAGAACACAAATCACTGCAGCCAGCTGGAATAAAATAGAGGGGCTGGGAAGCCCCCAAACCAAAATGGGAGGGCAGCAAGCCTTTTACCCAGCCCGCAGGGGCTAATCCTTCAAGTTAGATGTATACTGCTTGTTTCCAGGATCAGATCTGAGCCTGCATGCTCCCATCGCCACTACAGGGTTCAGATTTTTAAAAAAATGCAGCGAAAGTACATGGCATTTCTGTGCTTCCTATGGACGTGCAGAGAATCCCAGAGCAAAACTGTTCAGTCCATACTGATGTCATCCCTTTTCAACCCGGATGACTCAGACTGAAAGTGTCTACCGCACACAAGCCAGGAAAGGATCCTGTCAATCTCCCAGGTGGGGGATCTTGCACATCTTCTCCATCCCTTGATGGAGCCTCATTCCACAAAGACAGAACCCCCAAAATTCAGACACAATGTTTGGGTATGAGCAACTCAAGTTTCATCAAATTTATTGTTCAACCTGCTTCAGTAAAATAAAAGTTCCGTGTACATTATTTATAAAATGGCTTAAATTAAGGCATAATCCTGTAGTGTCTAAACAAGCGCCCGTGGTTCTGCATGAGTGAGAGCCAGGCCCACTTGCTACCCACACGTTGCACCAAGGAATCGGGATAAACCTCTCGGAAATCAGGTTGCCGGACCACAGAGGCGTCCCCTCCTTGAAGCGAGGGCCAACGTCACGGGGACTTGCCAGCAACTCAGCATCTACTGGACTCACCAGCGACTCAGCAGAAGCCAGTAAACTTTTAATATGCATGGTTGTAAAGCTACATCTGACAGTTCGGGAAACAAAGGAATGCAAATACACCACACTGAAACGTAAAGACAACACAGAAACCCTCAGGCCCAGGATGCCAAATAAGAGAAATTCAAGGGGGACTTGACACTCCCAAGAAGGAAGACTGCTCACTTTCCTCACGTTAAGACTATTGCCGCTGGAAGACTTCAGGTCTGCTGCAAACTCCATGCCTCCAAACCGCCTCTGCTTCGCTGGGAGATGGCCACAGGCTACGCAGAGTGTGTCAAAGAGGGCAGGGGAGAACTGCAGCTGCTTCGCTTTCCAAACAACGGAGGACTTGACCTGGGGTCAGGAAAGCTCTCATTCAATCCCAGCTGAACCAGAAAAGAAGAAAGTGACAGAAATGTGGCTGCCCTGACTTGTTGCCTTGAGCCGGTGCTCCCTATCCAATTCCCGTCCAGCCCCAGCTAACCCTAACCCTATCTCATTGCCTTCATTTCCCCCCCTCCCCCAGGAATTAAGCAGAGCAAAACCCAGGGCCACAGGGCATAATCAGGGCTCTGGCAGTGGCATGGAAACCACTGGGTCAATTTGGAGGGAGA